AAATCATTACCCTTCTCTACGTATCTTATAGTCACCTAATGGCTAATGCCTATACCTTTCAATTCCCTTTTAAAAAAAGAAAAAAGAAAAAGAAAAATCAAACCTGTCATCTACGCTAATATGCACAATGCCACATCACCAAATTAAAAAAAATATATATATGAGAGAGAGAAAGTGTAACGAATAGCATTAATGCATTATTACCCGGATCCCTTGACGGGTCGGGCAACCGGGCCAGCCGGTGATCGAAACCCTACCGTAACGGCGTCGTAAACGCACCAATGAAAACCGCCGTCAGTCCCCGTTAAACATTCCTCGCAGAAGGTGCCGCCAGCCAGGCCCATTCCCATACTCATAAGATACCGTTCCCTTTCCAAATGTAAATCCCTGACCCACTTCTCGTACTCGGCCCGGCCCAGAACCTGGCCCGCTACGGCGTCATTTCGGCGCAGGAGCACGACGTTCTCCAGCGCCACGCTGTTGTCGTTTCGGGAAGAGGCTTTCTTGCGCGACTTGTTTTTGCGACTCCGCGGGCGTTTGGATCGCTCGACGAAGAAGAAAGAGGAGTCGGCGTTGTCACGCGCCATGGTGGCGAAGTTGGATTTTCCGGTGATTGGGATTCTGTGGTTGGTGCCGAGGGTGGCGAGGTAGACGGAAAACTTGTGCGGGGAGATTCCGATCTTCTGGCTGAGGAAGGAGAGGAAGTTGTTGAAATTGAAAGAGGGATGGACGGTGACGTCGCCCACGTTGGTCTCCGTGTGGCCGTCGAAGTAGACGACGGAGAAGGGCACGCCTCCGCCGTCATCCATGTTGTTCCGGCTAGGGGATTAGAGGGTTTTTATGCGTGTACATATATTATAATAATAAGTACAATTTAATTAAAATAAACGGAGGACATGAAGAACGTGTAAGCGGGTTTTAATTTAGGGGTAGCGTGGGGAATACGAAAGGCGGTGATGGGTATTACTGGAATAGGAACTTCCACGAAACTCTCCGTCTCCCCCCGTTGTTTAAATATATTTTTAAAATATAAATAGTACTAAGATAGAAACTAAAATCCAGATAATTAAATTATTTTAATTTTTAAGTACACAATTTAATTAAGTTACATAATTATTATTTATATAAATTAAATAACTACATTTAATTTGTTTTTTATTTTTTAATATACTGTGATCAATGACTGTTATTAATTTTAATATTGTTTTTATTTTTTAATTTACTAAATTATTTTTAACATCATACTTCTTTTAAAAACATATAATTTACTTAAAATTTTATAGTATACTTTTAATAAAATAAATTATCTTCGAAAAGAAAACCATTATTTGTGATATATTGAAAAACAAATTTATATCACAATAAGTCAATATTAGTGAGTTGAAATGTAAAAATAACATTGAAAATAATATATTAAAATAAATTATAAATATTTAAGTAAATTATAATATTTTAAATGAATTAAATATTAAAAGTAAATTAATAAATAGAAAAGTAGAAACAACATTAAAATAACAAAAATATCTCTGTTCATAACATTAAAATTTAAAATACAAACAAATTTCTGTCAAAAAAAATTTAAAATAAATTTTATGCAGTTATCTTATTTTATATAAAATAATAAATATATTACATAATTAAATCATTCACTTAAAAATAATCTAATTATATTATTTTTGGATAAAGGTAAAAGATTGGATTAATTCAAGAAGACAACTTTTGACCACAAGATATGATTAAATTAGCCGAAGCAAATAATGTATTTATTTTTAATTTAAAATATTATTTATTATTTTAATATTATTCATTTTATTAATCATATTAACATTAAACTAACTATAACTAATAGTATGAATTAAGAAATATTAAAAATATCAAATATCTTAAACTAACATTTTTTTTATAAGACCGAAGCGAGACAGATTTATATTTACATGCAGTTGAACCATATGAAAGTCTTATTAATATTAAAGTTACTAAATCAATTATTTATGGAATAAGATTATTTACTTTATTCTTATCCTTCGGATGTCAAATCAAAACATGATAACTAATTGGTAGGTCACATATCGATTTTTCCAACTGCTAAACGAAGTACACTGCAGGATCCATTTGGCATTGCAATTGAAATGGATGAAGAATGATGGATTTCATCAGTCTTTCCAATTTTGGGTATTATATTAGTTTCTACTTTCTATTATAATACTCTAAACGTGGAAAATTCTTCTTGATTGAGACAAAAGGGTTGGTACCTTTAACACCCGCAGGTCGCCACCGTGATTGGAGCTACAGCTGTTCTATCCTTTCATGGTGACGCAAAAATGAAGTCCTTGTTTGGTGGGAAGAGTCAGGAAAGGGCACTTCCATTATCATTCAATGTATCAATTTATAGAGTAAGTAATGGTTGGATGTAAATCAATTGACAAACCTAAATGGTGCTTTGCTTCCACCGTTTGCGACCCTATTGTTTCTCCCTCTAATCCTCACATTGTACACTATCCTCCTCATGCCCAAGATTTGCTAACAATCATATAAATGATATGATATTTTTAATTTTCTAAATTTTAGAATTTATAATAGTTATAAAAGTTGGAGATTAAATAAATATTTAATCATGGTGTGCCACTGAATGTAATGAACGTAGATAAACAATGAAACAACAAGGAAATAATATGAGAGGACACTATGTATTTTAATACTGACTGTGAAATTTCATATTATGAGGAATTGATGAAGTAACAAGCTGCTCATAATTTCAAAAGAAGAGAATAGAAGCTGCAGAATTAACAGAATTGGCAGAGAATATCCCAAAAGGGCCAAGAGAGAGAAAAAGACAATTCATACAATCCACCCCTTTTCTCATTTAGCAATTTCCCTTTTATAATCACGTGGTCCCCCATACGAAATCCTTTAGTGCAGAATTGGCTATTCTTTTCCTTCCACTTTTGCGGTTGCATTTGTTTTCCTCCCTCTTTGCCAGGTGTCCACTATATCCAATGTTCCCCACATGCTCACTGCCCGCACCATTCATAACATTGCTTCCCCCATGGACAACAACCTTGTCCTCAAGGTTGAAGTTAGGATACTCACTTTGCAAGGTGAGTGCATCTTCCCAAGTAGCTTGAGAGATATCCAACCCTTCCCATTGGACAAGTACTTGAGGTATATGTTGATTCTCTCGCAAAATGACTCTAAATTGTAACACCTTGAGCGGTTGAATAACAGGGCCAAATTCATTTGTGAGAAATGGCAGAGGCAGATATTGTTGTTGATGTTCTCCTTTGCATGGTTTCAATAGAGAAACATGGAAAACTGGGTGGATCTTCGCTGTAGGTGGCAATGCTAATTTGTAAGCAACAGGTCCAATCCTTTGCATCACTGGAAAAGGACCAAAATAACGAAGGCCAAGCTTCTGGTTTTTGCGAAGTGCAACTGAATGTTGTCGATACGGTTGGAGTTTGACAAACACAAGGTCTCCCACTTGGAACTCTACATGAACTCGTTTTTTTTTTTTTTTTTTAAATAGAGTTGTGTCGTGTTTATAAATTTTCAAAAAAATTAAGACATTAAATTTATGCTGGTCTATTATCTTTTTTGTTTTAAATTGTCAAAATAAAATAAAAAACTGTCTTCCTTTTCTCAAGGTAGTGTTTGTTCAAATAGGATATATTCATTAGAAATAAAAAGAATAATACAAACTTTTGTCTTCCTTTTCATTATAATAGTATTTAAATGCAGTGAACGGATAGTCTATATATTTCAATAAATACTTTTGATTTCTTGAAGGAAAAGTTAAAATGTTTTATTCTTAATATAATAAATGCATATTTTCGATTCTTTAACTAAGTTTAAGGACATTGGAGGTTAGTAAATTCCTGCTTATTTTTTGATTAGTTATATTTTTTATTAGTAAATTCCTGCTTATTTAACGTTAACATTTTTTTATCAATCAAAATTATAATGACAGCAATGAGATTCAAATCAAAGATTGTGTGCATACGATTCCAAACTCTAGGCCAACTTTAGTGATTCTGCAACATTTTATTCACTAGTATTTAGTAATCTATTTTTTGTTGTTGTGATTTTTGTAATGTGCAGCTGTCTTCTGTTAGACTGTTATTATTTATTTGGATCATCTGATTTTTTATTTATATTTTATAAATAAAAGGGCCTAAAGGCCTAACAGCAAGGAGAAAGGACTGATAGAGTTAGTTTTTATTGCCTTTTGTTTTTGTCATGCTAATGGGTAGAAATGTTGGTGTCACATTTTACTGATGTGCATCTGGCCCAATTGTTTGATAACCTAAATGGCCCAAAAAATCTGCTAAGACACGGATACGTATTACAATAGCTTTGAGTTGAGAAACCCAAAATCACTATTCCATTCTCATTTCATTCACAGACTCCCATCATGGCATGTCATTTTCGCATGGAGCTTCTTTATATTAATATTGCAACTCTCAAACAGTAGGATTTAGATAGAGAAATTGAAAGAGTATAACGTGAGACGCGTGTGGCGTGATTGAATGGAAGCTGCTCCAAACGGAAAAAATAAGAAACACAATGGGACAAAATATAGTGGGTTCACATTCCTAGTAGTCCACAGAACCATGATGGGGGAGCAGCAAAACCACACGATGATGTGTGATGTAAAGTCATGGTAATGGGTTGTAGTACCTTACAAACGAGTCAAATTAAGAATATGAATTTTACCTTGAAGCATCCAAGCATTGCCAGAAAATTGGTCCCTCCCCCAAATATCTTCATTGGATGTTATGAATAGTTGAAATGGTGAATAATTGTTTTCTCACCACCTAGACAGAGAGTCGTGCATACATGGTTCTTTTGTTCTATACTTTCACACCGTTGCTGTTGGTGTCAATTGCTTGTCAACCACATAGCTTCAACCAGATCATCACTTGTTTGTACCCTGCTTTGATTATGAGTTTTAACTTTTAAGGTATTACATTCCAAGAATAATTATTAATTTTTGAATCCAGTTAACCGTATTTGGCAAAATAAGTGTTACTGTTTTCGTGCGGATAACGGTATGGCCGAACTTTCACAGGATTAGTACGTGCTAAATCAGGGTGTAAGTCAGCAGGTAAGTCAGCCCATTGATCCTGTGGCACTTCAGGAAATTGAAGCTGTAATGTATAACATTCCGCAATAGCATGTGTGTGAGACATTCTCCGAATATGATGGAATTGCGCTGGGGTGGGAAGCTTCGAGTTATCACCATGGAGAGTAATAAATTCACCATTCAAATAAAATTTCAAAGTTAATGCACTATAATCAGAAATATGGGGGCCCAAAGTAGCCAGCCATGATGCGCCCAACACCAAATCTGCGCCAGAAACTGGTAATAAATACACCGGGAGAGTGAGTGTATGACCCTGTACTGAAACCTTGAGTTCTTGTATCAGTCCTTCAACCGTCAAAGAATTTCCATTGCCCACCATAACTTGAAAACTAGAAATGGGTTCAACCGGTAATTTCAAGTAATTTGCAAGTCGAGGTTGCAGAAAATTATCAGAACTGCCACTGTCTAACAAAATCTGAACGGAGACACCTTGAATAGAGCCTTGGAATCGCATTGTACCCACTCCATTAGAGCCTTTGAGGGCGTTGAAAGAGAGATGATGGTCCAAAATGGGGTCAGGGTTGGGGTGAGTAAGGTGTTCAGATGAGTGGGGTTTATCGGGGGGTTCCTCGGTCTCCTCATATTGTAGTAATAGGTACTGTTTATTAGGACATCTATGGTTTGGGGTGAATTTGTCATCACAAGTATAGCACAACCCTTTCTCTCTACGGATTTGCATTTCAGCAGGGGTGATGTTTTTGACATTGGATGGTTTGAAAGGTTGGGTAAATGGTTGCAAGTTTGGGGTAGGTAACAGGGGTGGTAAGGCATTTGTTTTGGATTGTGGGCTGTTCTGTGGTTTTGTGGTTGAGGTTTTGGGATAGCTAGATGAAAAGTAAGGTTTCGGGTTAGGAGTGTATTTCTCTTCAAAAAGTTTGGCTAAGGACACAGCTTTAAGGACAGAGTTTGGTGATTGAGCTAACACCTCTCGTCTAATTTCAAGTTTAAGGCCACTCAAAAAGCAATCCAATATGGCATCGACGGTAAGCCCCGTAACACGATTAGCCAAAGCAGTGAACTCGACATAATAATCATGGACAGAGCCCAATTGTGAGAGTTTAAACAGAGCAGATCGTGGGCATTCATAAGGAGAAGGACCGAATTCGAGTTCTAATGCCTTAGTAAAACCTTCCCAGGATTGGAAGGGGTTGTTCTTTTGCATCATCTGAAACCAAGGTACAACATCCTTCTCCAAATGGATCGCAACAATAGTAAGGCGTTGGAGCTCAGGAGTGGAGTAATATCCAAAAAATTGTTCAGCCTTGAAGATCCATTGCAGAACATTGGTTCCGTCAAATTTAGGAAAATCAAGCTTAATATTCCGTACCTGAAACGGCAGGTTGGTTTGTGAGTTCGAACCACCAGGTTGCTGCTTGGAAACGTCATGGAGCGCCAACTCCAGCTGCGCAAAGCGTTCGTTATAACAGAGATCACGTTTCTCCATGAGATCGAGGATTTTCTTCACGTTGGCGTCAAGCTCCTTGAGGCGTGTGTTTTCAGCCATGGTGGGAATGAAAGCACCAAATTGTAACGAGCATAAGGCTAAGGAGGGGAACCATCCCTCAAAAGCCGGCCCAAGAGGTTGGAGAACCTCCCGCCTTATAAGGCCTCCTTGGTAAGGAGACCTCCCCGATGTGGGACTTGTTACATTACCATCCCCTTCGAAAGCCAGCGTCCTCGATGGCTGCACTCCACGGTACTTTACTCACCGATACTTCACTCGACCCTTGCCGGTCAGAACCCTCCGGTGGTCAGAACCCTCCGTGGGTAGCCCTTCTCGATTTGGCTGGCTCTCAACGAAAGCACCATTGTAACGAGCATAAGGCTAAGGAGGGGAACCATCCCTCAAAAGCCGGCCCAAGAGGTTGGAGAACCTCCCGCCTTATAAGGCCTCCTTGGTAAGGAGACCTCCCCGATGTGGGACTTGTTACACTGAATTGATGAGAAACAGGAAATAATGAAGATGTCTGCACTCTGCATAATAGTATTAGTATGACACCAAGCGACTAATTTAATTCTTTAAACCATCTGAACTCGCTCATCATCTTGAGTTAAAGATGGTACAGTTCAACACTCAATCATCCAAATCATTATATTACATTTTTTGCCTTAAAAATATCGCTGTATAAAAGTATCCAAGGAATAGTACCATCAACAGTCATTGTGTTCTTATCTGCCCTAGTGTTTGATCGAACATTTGTAAAGTTAATTTTGGACGATCTTAATTTTATAAATTGTTTAAAGTTAAATTTGACATAAAATTATTTATGTTTAAAAACTCGTTTCAAAGTCAAAAAGTTTGCAGTTAAAACTAATATAAATTTTTCATCCCAACACAAACGCTACATGTTTTTTTTTCACTTATACTCGAACTACTTTTTAGGATCATACTTAATCTTGATTGAACATAACCAAACATACTAACATGTCTTAATCAATTGTAGTCTTCAAACAAGTGTTTCCCCAAACACGCTGCAACTCTGATACTCATGAATCTAATGGGAAAAAATCAACTCAACGACAAAAGCCATGCAGCAATAAGAAACAAAGAGATCACGGATACATAGCCTACATACAAAAGTTATACTGTACAAGAATAATAGTTTAGTTTTGTGTATAATCACAGTCAACAGAAGTAATCACTAATCAAAACTTGGCTTGATGTGTCAGAGCATAATCACTAATGAATTGTTTTGTTGGCTTTAATACGCCAAAAATGATCCAGTGCCAGTGTAACTTGTTACTAATGCCTTTCCAGCTGAGGTTGGCTGAGAGAATGCTAATTGAGAAGGTTCAAGCTCAAGACCCGTGCAGAAACTCTTCCTGCGACCAATTTAACACAGACCAAAAACAAATCAATAATTGTTTGGGTGAGAATTTGCAAAATTGATATTCATTTTATAAAATTTTGGTTTTGATATTGATTATGTCCAGATGTTTTTATCGTGACAAGAAGTTTGATGCAATACTTAATGTAAATTTTCAACCTATTACATTTTATCACTTCTAACCATGTAAAAACCAATTTTACTTGACAATAATAAAATATCTATATATTTACTAAAATCACATTTCACATGAAGCAAAAAATCAATTCTAATACTTCCCGATGTAAAACCAAACACACACACTAATGACTAACCAATCAGAGATGTGATATTACCTAGAACCATCTACCGTTGCCTATATAATAGTTGAATCTATGCATCATTCTTTTTGCATAAGATAACACACATTTGAATCTATGATTTCTTTCAAACTATTCAAGTTCCTCACCATTAAGCAAATCTTAATCTATTTATACACACGGGGCTTGTGGTTATATAAAAAAAAATGATCTTTCCATGATAAAGTAATGATGAATTAGGCTTTAGTCGCCAGTGAGAAATGATAATGAAAGCAAAACTTAATTGAATTCACTTTACCTCACGGCATCAAGCAAGTGGGTTGCAATGCCTTTTCTTCTGTTAGAGGGAGTTACCCAAATGGCTCTAATTCCACAAGCAGCAGCGGTTGGTTTGGTATCACAGAAGATGGCCCCCTCCATCCTTTCGGAATCACTCACGGAAGCAACTTTTTTCTCAACCTCCCTTTGGAAAATAACATTCCCAAACTGAAGAGTGGTGGAACGTGGCTTCACTCTCCTTTTCTTCACGCTATCAACAGAAGGAGACACAACTTTGAATGCTTCTTTGATTGGCTCTGCAACGAGGCACCCAACAACCCTTTGGGCAGAAACAAAGAGATACACCTGAAACACAACATTGTAACGCCAATAAGTATCATTCAATAATAAGCTAATAAAAACCTAACATGAGTTTTTTTTAATCTATTCACCTTACAGAGATCGTGAAGTATCCATTCGCTTCCAAGTTCAATTTCCATCATTCTGATGACCTCTTCAGCTTTTTTTCTGTGAGAAGACGGGTCGGTTTCTGCCACCAATATGATTCGACCCGATTCTACGCTGGGGAGAGGGATAAGCGTTTCTTTGGACCAACCCTGCAGAAGAATAGGGATAAGATAATAAGATAAATTGGGCATAAAGAAAGGGGTATGGAGAGAAGAAGCGGAGAAATTACTCTGAATAGGATTCCGTGCGTGAAGGATTTGTGAAATTCGTTGTGGGATTTATCGTCGTGTGGGTCGCCGGGAGTGAACTTTATGCCGCAGGTGGGACAGGCGCGTAAGAGGAAATCGGATTGGCCGAAATCGAGGTGGAATTGGGCGTAGCTTCTCTTGTTTTTGACGAGCGTTGAGGTCCGTTCTGTTTTGGAAGGCGAAGTAACGGCGTTAGGGTTGGGACGGGTTCGGGTGTAGGTGTTGATGATGTGGTGTTGCTGGTTCTCCCAGTCGTCGTCATTGCGGAGAGTAGTGGAAGCGGAGGTAGATTTGAAGAAAGCGCTGATCTTGGACTGCATTTGCGATTCAGCGGATGTTCTTTCCCTCTGCTGCCACGTTATGGTAATAGATTTCAACACTCATCAGAAGAATTGGTGTTGGCAGGCCGTTCTTGATTTATGGGCCCTTATGGTTTTATGGGCCTTTACTGGTGCGGGATGGCCCAATCTGAGTTGTACGAAAGTACTAACTGAGACCGAACCCACTTTCTTCACTGGCGTGCAAATGCAAACGCAAATGCAACAAACGCAGCACCAGGCCACGGCGGCTCCGTTCTCAACCTCCACTCCTCCTCCCTCCTCCGGTGGCTCCGCGTCCGAGGCACCGCCGAAGCAGGTGGCTCAAGCAATGGACAAGCTCGGACAGGCCGGGCGAATCATTGCCGACATCAGAATTGGCGCCGACCGCCTCCTCGAAGCTCTCTTCGTCGCGGCGGCGCAGCCTCACCAGGGCAACAAGCCTCTCCAGTTATTCGTCAAGGAAGACGCCTGCATGCGCCAGTATCTTCAAGACCTTCGATCCCTCGGTGAGCGTGCCGTTCCACTCGTTCGCGTTCTCTTTCGTTCCACCGATTAGGGTTTTGGGCTCTGCGGCGTCGTTTTGTGATTATTTCTGCGTGGTCTTGGTTTGTAGGTAAGGAGCTGGAAGAGTCTGGAGTTCTCAGTGAATCGGTTCGGTCGAGGAAAGATTTTTGGGGCTTGCATATGCCGTTGGTTTGTCCAGATGGTGCTGTGGTTGCGTATGCGTGGAAACGACAGCTTGCGGGACAAGCTGGTGCTTCTGCCGTTGACAGGACTAGGTTCGTTTCGTTCAATTTGATTCCTTTTCAGCTCTGTTTTGATATTCAGATTTATGTGTTAGTTCATTTGGATAAATGAAATGGGAAGGGAAATAAAGAATTCCAATTCAACCGTCTTTTGTTTTACTTGGAGGTTATGTTATGCTACTGATAGGGAAGACAGTGAAGAGAATGATGGCATTTGGCATTCCTAGACCAGATATTTTTATGATGATGATTTTTGTGCATATTCAAGTGGATATGTTAATCTTCGTGTTTTGCTATTACCTCCCAAGTATAATGCGCACAGGAGTAATACATGATATTATCCTTAGCCCAGTTATGCCGTGAGGTAGCTGCTGTCTTTTGGCTCGCTCTCATGAAGTTTGCCTCCAAAATTTTAATTGAAGCTTTTATACTTGCCAACGATATTTTGTACGACATTTAGTTGCTCCACGTTCTTCAGTACAATGGACAAAGAAAATGCTCGTCAGCTTGCATTTTTATTTTGTTTTTCATGGGTACATTTTGGGTTATAGTGTGCTGCTGATTCGTGATACTTAAGCTGCTCACATAGGCTTTTGAATGATATCAGGTTAGCTCTAAAAGCCTTCACTGATCAGAAAAGGCGTTTTTTCCCCCATCTTGATGATGGACTTGAAGGTAGTGAATCAGCTTCAAAGAAACGTTGTGGATCTGAAGAAATTGCTGTGGATCCCAAGGAAGAAATTAGTTTTCTGAAGACACTACCGGATGTTCTAAAGTCATTGGAGAAGGAAGTGCCAAATCTGAAAATTTTAACTTTTGAACGATTGGACTGGTTAAAAAGAGCTGTCACACTTACCTCATCAACAAATGAGAGTTTTCTGGAACATAACTATCATGGTTCTGGTAAGCTAAGACTAGGATCAGTGGGAACAGTTGCTGCAGAGAAGGTTGCAGTGATAGAATTGTTAGTCCCATCTGTCTTCAGAGCTGTTATATCCTTTCATCATGCTGGTTCCATGGATCCAGATGCTGTAGCTTTCTTTTCTCCAGATGAGGTATAGCTGCAATATTATTGTGAGATTTATTGCTGTTTCTCTTTCCTAATATTCATTGGCGTGAAATGTTTGGTTATCAGCATGCTATGGACATTCTAGATGATCTCTTAACATCGGTTATGTGATAGTTACTAGTATAGATGTGGTTTTCATTTTCCCATTTCCTGAATCCCTAGTTTCAGTAAATCAAGCTTGTATTATTTTTTTTTTTTATCCATAGGAAAGATTATAAAAATGGCAATGAAGATCGAACTTAGGTTGTCATGCATCTACTCTACCCCAATTCCTTCTCTCCCTCCAACCACTAGGTTAACTCTTGCAGTCCAAGCTTGCATTATTTATAGCATATATTACATTTAGTAGCTATAAACTTAATTTTCAGATTGCACTGTGAGCTAGCGTCTACAAGATTCCACTGCTTTTTTGAAGGTGGTTTTTCTATTCATTTCTTGATATATTTTCATAATAATCAAGTTGGTCTTACAGTGACTCCCATCGATGCTAGTTAGGCATTGTTAGCTAAGAGCTGACCTGATAGGCAAGGTGTTAAGACTAGTAAATTAGTTGTCTAAAGACAGATGGACAAAGGAAAGTCAGTTACCTGGTCAGTTACATTTTTTTTTTTGGAGGGGGGGGGGGCTGGTTCTCACATTCCTGGGAAAAAAACCATTGCATATCATTTTTTCCCTTCTTAATCCCCCATATATTCAACTCTTGTTCTTCTCATTGATCTAGAGTTCGGGGAGGATATTTATTAAATTTTCTTACTTTTTTGTTAATATCTGTATTCTGAATAGTATGTATTACTTGCCAGTACTCAAATAGGATAATGTGAATATATATTTATTGGTCCTACACATCTATTTTGTTAAATATTTATGTCATGTGCAGCTCAAGTTTGTAAACATGGCCCATTTTATTTTACATTGTAAGTTGGCTACTTTCTTTTGGAATAAGCTGTTTGTTTGATGGGCAGGATGGACATTGAGTTTACCTGATTACATTGTAGTTTTTCTCAATTTGTTTTAAATGTTTTGAAACTAGGAAGTTGGATATTTTTTGTCATATCCAGTCTTTTCTCATTGCTTGGAGCCTAAACATTCAGTGATTCCTTTCCACTGGTAGCTTTGTGTTGGGAATCTTGTGATGATGGTAGCTTTGGTGCCCAGCCCATGGCTGTTTCAAGGGAGTTTCTATTTCTGATTTAATAGAGACAAATGCTGTTCTCATACTTTTTAACTTGATTTTGGAGAATGTCTTATTCCCTAGTTGTTCTTCACTTATTTTCTCTCGAATGTGTATATGACTTGTTTTTTAATGATAATAATAAAGAGACTTAAATTTGTTATTTGTTAATAAATTTTCTTGAACTTTACTTTTACATATTCCAGTTTTATAGTTCCTTAATACATCTGGCTCAGTGTATTTAACTGTGCACTACTTAACAGAGCGGAAGCTACGTGCATGCAAGGGGTTTTTCTGTTCATCATGTGTTTAAACATATCACGGTAACAGTCTCTGTTGCTTATTATTTTTCATTTGATTCTTTTAGTTACTCTTTAAAGTCTTTCTCATTATAGATCCTTTTTGTTTTACATTGCAGGAGTATGCAGCGACAGCTCTGCAGTATTTTCTTGGGAACCAAACTGAAACGTGTCTGTATTCTCTTTTGGTACTGTAATTTTCTTTCTTTTTTCAAATCGTGGCACTTCTTTTGATTAGAAGGTATTAATTCTAGATGTACACTAGGTTTTCTTAGATTTTTGCCTTTTTCTGTAGCACTGGATTTGCAGCTACGAGACTCTGTTTTCAAAATCATGCAGGTTCATTTTGCAGCTTCTAGAACTTTAGATTTTCTTATCCTTTGGTCAAATTACTAAACTCAATTTGTTGGTGGTGCAGCAAAGGTTCACGGCTACTTGCCATGGATAAACAATCAGATTTACTGTTACCTCCAGTTCATCGTCCTTATTGGCAGTTTTCCTTTTCAAAAATTTTGTTAAACATATCCTCAAAGGACCAGAATTCTGATTCTACTCAGGCCTATCATATTGGCTGTTTCTCTGAGGAAGTATAGTTGCATCGACCAACAATTCAGGCGAGCCAAGTGCCCAATTTTATGCGGAACTCTACCTGGAGCAAGAATTTCCATTTCATTGCTGTATGTATATTACCTTTTATATGTATAGGTTGGAAGGCAGGGGTAGGTTAAGTGATTTGCTTATCATTGGTCTATATTTTCATCTCTTAAATTGGATCTTCAGGGAATTGATTAGTGGTTCTGTTGTGTAAGCTTCGTGTTCATTGATAGATTTTTTTTGGATACCAGAAACAGGAAGTTTTCCTCACTGATCATTGCTAGATTTTCATCTCTTAAAGGGATTTATTTAGATGCGGAACTCAGCATGTGAATACATTATAATGTCAGTCTGCAATATTTTAATGATTAAAAAGTGATGCTGAGTACATAACTACGTTCGCCGTATGTACTAGGTCTTCATCCAAATATACTGATAGTGGAAAATGGTTCGAGGGGCAAACTAAGAATCTGAGATTGAGCCACAGGTATAAAGGTGTTGAAAGTTGCTATCGTGGTTCTATGACTATAAGTGTTCACATGCTCATAGCAAAACATTTCTCTGTACAAACAGCTAAAAAAAATCGATTTTGTTGATTAGTCGTTTCATTGCAGGAGTTGTCGCGGTTGTAATTGCTAATTAGTGAAACCTTTTCAAGTGAAAAGGATACTACGGTTGCCTCTGTACTTTATTCTGTTTATTGTAACCTGCGCTATTCATAATTCAAATAAATTTATTTTTGTGCAGAATTGTTAAAATATGTTTGGGCTGGCGGGCGTCGAAAATTTTGGCGATATTGGAGTTGTACAATGAAATAATTTTGTTGAAAGTGCATGTTTCAATTCGATTATTTTGAAAGAAAAATTACCTTTATTTTAAAAGAAAAATAATTTTCCATTTTTTGAGAAGCGATTACATTTTTAAATGTTAAAATATGCTCTGTAGACATTAGTTTTGATTTTTTTTTTAAATTTTTCGTGAAACAATATTAAATGAGCTATGATCAACTTTCTATGATCAATCTGATTAAGCTTAAATTTTTACTAAACATCAACAGATTTAGTTTAGTAAGTTCAACATGGAAATCATGATTTATTGCCCGTGGTCCGTGGAGTGGGATTTTGAGTTAAGCTTTTATTGTTGTGTGCTTTACCACATTTTTTTTCTATTAAAAGTTTTATTGATTTGATTAAATTGGTAGTTTGCGCAACTTCGCTCGCTTGATAATATCGTTTATATATTTATTTAATCATAATGGAGCTTAACTTATTGGTGTCGAAAATATTTTTTAAATTCTTAAATTTGAAGTTTTTTTTTTTTTTAAATCTTAATGACTTTTGTTGCTAGTGTTATTTATTTTGACATATGTTCCTAATAAGCTCTTGCCACTATTAAGTCATTGTCAATAATCATGTGTTGCAATCGAAACAGGATTGACAAAAATAAATTAAAAAATAAGGAGTCATCACCAATGTTCTTTTTATGAAAAAAATATTAGAAAAATTATAAAATAGAAAATAATTTATAAAATCCAGATTTTTGAGTTCGGGAGTCGATTACGTGTGAAGAAAGTATTAGCACCTCACAACGTTCATCCTAAAACCATTACCTTTAATTAATTAAACAAATTATATAAAATATTTATCTCACTAAAATGATCAAATATCTATTTAACTAATTTAACTAATGTATTAAAAAAGGTTAATATTATTATCGTTATATAAAAAAGAAGATAATATATTTTTATTTTTTTGGCTCAACAAGATCTATTTCTTGCTCCTACGTATCTCCATGTGTAATGAAAAATCAGAGTCACGTAGTTCTTTGGTAGAAAATATTTGTGTGTTGATATTTTTTAATTAAATTTTATTTTTTGTTAAATATAGGATTCTTGAACTGTCTCAGCTCATTCACCCTAAAAATATAAAATTGGCTAAAGTGTACACCAAAATCAATTCAATAAAATTTTAATTATAATTATTGCTATATATATTATTATCTTAAAAGATTTTTTGGTTGGACATTTGTTTTTGGAGAAAAAATTTAAAGATATAAGTTGTCACAACTTGTATTTTAAATTCAAAGGTTAAAAAGATGTCACATCTAATTAACCATTCCTCCAATAAAATTTTTGATACAATACTTCAAATATTTATATTGAATATTGTAATACTAAATTTTAATCATATTTTGAATTTCAATAAGACTTTAAGATGACAAATAATCCTTTTTAAAATGACAGATATTACTAATAAAAAAATAAATAATAAATAAATAAATAAATAAAAAGAAGTCAGTTCAATATACTTACTATTTTTCGCTCAATAAGTGGTAACTTGTTGGTCTCTTCCTCTGGGTTCCCTCTAGTTTTCAGAGAGTGTAAAAGAGAAAGAAGAAGTCCAAAGTGGAGATGTGTGTGTGGCTTTGGGTAGGCCAATGTGCTGCTATTTATAGACTTTCAGGAGTGACCGGAATGACCCGTTCTGAATCCAAAACGACCGTTCTAAGGTTGCATCTTTACTCACAATGGCCATTTCTGGAACGGCCCGTTCCAGTTTGGGAACGGCCCGTGCTGAATTTATAGGCATTTTGGTAGTTTGGAAATGACCCGTTCTAGGCTAGAATTTATAGTTCTTTTTAGTAGATTGGAACGGCCCGTTCCAGTTTGGGAACAACCGTTCCGGGATAGAATTTATAGGTCTTTTTGGAAGGTTGGAACTTCCCGTTTCAGTTTTGAAATGACCCATTCCGAGTTAGAAATTTTAGGTCTGTTTGGAAGGTTGGAACGGCCCGTTCCAGTTTGGAAACAGCCCGTTCCGGTCTAGAAATTATAGGTCCTTTTTATAGCTTGGAACGACCTGTTCCAGTTTAGAAACGACACGTTCTGGGCTACTAAAATCATATGAAAATGACTAAATTACCCTCCACGAAAGTATGAAAATTGAGTTGTTACATTTGGCTTCTATATTTTTATCTTTTTTATTATTTCTTGTATATACCTTTTTTGCTATTTTTTTAAGAACAAAATTAATATTTTCTGGACTAAATTGAGTTACTACATCATGTACCCCAAATTATTGTACATTATAAATGCATTTTTAAATTTAAATAAGCTTTAAAATAAAAATACATAAAAGATGATAATATCATCATTATTAAACAATGATAAAATTAAGTATCTTAAAAAAAGAAGAAGAAAATATAATAGGTGTCATCATTGTTAATAATGAGAATGCAATATTATTAAATATGAATAACTTAAAGAAATAAGATTTTTATTTTGAGGATGAAGTTATAAAAGAAATCTTTATACTTATTAATTTTGATATGATATCAAAATTTAAATTTAATTGCATTTTTGGTATCATAGTATCAACAAAAGTATCTACTAGTTTTGTTGAGAACTAATCTCCTTCAAAATCTTAACTATATTAATATTATCTTACTCAACATCGTTTTTGTTAAACTTAAGATTCATAGTGAAGATCTTGAAATTTGAAGATCAATCATAATATCAATTGGATCGATGTATGTTGGTATTTAATTTCAATTTTAAGATGAAAAATTGAAGTAATAATATTCTAAAAATATAAAAATATAAGGCCTTCAGTATAAAAAAAAATGGCACTTATTGAAAAGAATAAATTTTAAAATTCTCACATTTCAAAATAAATGTTTAACTTTATAATATAAAATAAATTAAGTTATGATATATTTAGATCTAAAGTCAGTTCTTTGAAGGTATTTTCATAAATAAATAAAAATGGTAATGTTGTGCATAATTTATGTCAACATCCCGAACAATGTGCTCAAGAAAAAAACATGGACCCAAATGGTAATTAACATATACAGACAAGAAGAGAGAGAGAAAAAATAATATGATGTGATAATTGTTCAAAAATTTATTTTGGTTCCTTATAATAATTGTTTGTTTCAGTTTAGTCCTATTTTTATTTTTGGTCTCAATTTGGTCCCTAATAAATTAATTAGTTGCAATATCGGACTTCCGTCCAAATTATTTAAACGGAGTTAACTTTTGATCACGTGGATGTCACGTAGATGCATAGGTGGATATCCCGTGGATGCCAAATCGCTTGAAAACACCTGGAACCAGAACGGGTCATTCTGGGTGCACTCTTAGTGTGTTAATTTTGCATCTGAAACGGGCCGTTCCAGATGCAAAATTAACACACTACCAGTACATCAGAACGGCCCGTTCCAGAACGCCATGTTAAGTGAGAACAATAGAATATTCTATATTAATTTTATTAAAAAATATAATAATTTTGAAAAATATTTTTTTATGGTAAAAATTTTAAAATTACTTATTTTTATAAAATACAATTGTCTTATAAATAGAGTGATAACTTTTCCTTTTTCTCTTTCTGTCTGAAGAAATATTTAAGTATCACTTTATAATTTTTTGCAACTTATTTAAAATTAGAGGAATAAAATGATAAAAATTAATAGGATAAACATAATAAAATTATTAATTTGTTTTCTTTTAGTGTCCTCTAAATTTTTACACTCATTTAAAACAAAAATATTTTATATGTTATTTTGAATTAATTTAACGAAGTATCATATGATTTTTAATTTTTTAAAAATTTTTATAAATTTGATCTATACATGAAAAGCTTTTTAATTTAACAATTAAATTTTTAAAAATTTGATATAGAACATTAATTATTAAGTAGAATAAATCTATCAAGACTTACTCTTGAAGTAAGTAAATTTTTTTTTCATTAAAAATGAAGATAATTTTACCACAAAATAAAAAATAATTAAACAATAAAATAAAATATAAAAAAAATATTAATATATTTATTATATTAGATATAACAACATAATTAAAATATAATTAATAATATATATTTTATAAAATTATTAATATTTTATATATAAAAAAATGAAAAAAAAATTAGTGGAGGACTTGCCCCCACTATGATTAACTTAGATCCGTCCCTACATGTGGTTTGTGTGGTGAAATGTTAGTCCTGTGTATCCTCTTTCTTTACTTCAAGTTCTACCTCTTCAAGAACAGGTTGTTGTTGTTGGGGTACATCGTTAATGACTTCAAGGAAAAATATCATGTCATTTCATCCTTTACTGTATAGTGTCAATTTGGTAGTAAGTGGTTCACTCCAGTTTGACTAACAATGAAATAAAATCTGCTACCATTGTCTTTAGTGATACACTGCATTGTCCTTAATGATACACTGTATAGCCTAACTGTTTAGCAATTGAAGTTATCAATTTTCATTAACAATATTACAAAATCCAGTGTTTGAAATGCTTTGTACTTTGGGTCTTTTTCCTTCCACGATTCACAACCGTGAACTATAATCATTGACCGTTTGTGTTTAGCAGTCTGGAACCAGAACGGTCCGTTCTGGTTGCACTCTTAATGTGTTAATTTTGTACCTGGAACGGGCTGTTCTAGATACAAAATTAACATACCAAGAGTGCACCCAGAACGGTCCTTTCTGGTTTCAAAACGGACCGTTCTGGTTCCAGGTATTTTCAAAAAATTTGGCATCCACGTGACATCTACCTATGCACCTATGTGGTATCCATGGCCAACAGTTAACTCCATTTAAATAATTTGGACGGAAGTCCGACATTGCAATTAATTAATTTATTAGGAACTAAATTGAGATCAAAAATAAAAATAGAACTAAATTAAAACAAATAATTATTATAAGAACGAAAATACTATTTTAACCAAAAGTATTAATAAAATATTTGATAGAAGTATCTGTATATATCATCGCTCATCCATAGATTTGCAGTAGAGTCAAATGTCAAGAATGTTTACCATGATTAGAAACACTTTCAGATAATAAAAAATGATAATTAGATTGGGACTCTTGATCAATAAGTCAATGAAAACATAGGCGTAGCTGGTAGCTAGAAAAATATCAAGTGAACTAAGCAAATAACTAAGTCACTCTTCATGTTCCAATCCACAGTAAGAATATAATAATTAATAATATAATTGCATTGATTGGTGTGTGAGTCTATCACATGGCCAATAGAATTTGTCATGAGGGTAGATGTGCCAGCTGCCAGCACGAGTAGCTACGTGCGAGTGAAATGGTGGGTCAGTGAAGTTATGAGCAATTTTGGTGAAGTACGACTTCAAATGGAAATTGGCACTTGGCAATTGGCTGATTCACAAATCATAGGGTCGTGTTTTTTCCAATTAAAAACGAACAACCTCTGTACCATACCACATTCCCACACCTGTCTATGTTTTTCGAAGGTGTGCCAACTGCATGGCAGATAATAATTTGAATGTTCTCTTGACATGTGAGATACATCAGTGATCCACGTCAAACTACAACATCAGAGGCTCCACTCATCACTAATTGGGCAATCAGTGAGAGAAAATCATGTGTGTCCAACGTAGTCAGGATTCCGTTACGTGACCCAAAAATAATTTGGATTTTTTTTAAGTGGAATTTCATTATTTCAAGTCTCAAATCAAAAGGATAAGTATTGGAAATAAAGGAAACTCAGTAGTATTCTAGTTTTCATAAAAAGGACGTGGCACATGGCTTTTTGTCTTTCAGCTTATTCAAAAGTTGCTACAAAACAAAATTGAAAATTTTGAAATTGTAGAAGAATAGACAAAGAAGGATAGGAGTTTGTGTGGAAGATATTTAATGGATTAATTTCCGCGCATTTACTGCTAGTTCACCTAAAATAATTGTCGACATTAGGGGCTGCTTTCAGAACCAATTACACTACAAAGTACAAACAAAAGCCACACTCACCTTTCATTTGCAAAACTGAGAGGAGCACAGCATCAGGATGGGGACTAACCAAGAGATACAACAAAAGGGTTTGACTCTTAACCGGTTACGTTTTAAATTAGTTGCATATATAACCATTACTTATTAAATTAGTTCGAGTCCCGTGTCCTTTTTGCAGTTCTAAGCATTTTATAATGGACTCTGTCAAGAGTCAAACTCCGATCTTCAGCGCTGACCTGCTTTCAAATTCTTCATAATCTTTTTCACAATATGCAACAAGCTGTAGTACCAATTGCCAAGACCTTTGATAGTGCAGTCATAATCAAAATCTTTGACAGAAAAAGGTTGCACCCTTACAAGAAACCCAAAAACAATACTGTCTGATTGAGAATCACCACCTCCTCATGGAAGAATTGAATGATCATTTAGGAAGGCAGCAGAACAACATAAATGAAAGAAAACACATCATAAAGATTAATAAAGAGGCAAGAGAACGACATACGGAAGCAAAATCCTAGTCAGCAATATAAAAGCTCGCCAACTATTATTAAATAGGTTATTTATTATTTTAAAAACAAATAAAAAAATAAGAGGAGGCAAGAATCCACCATTCAAGTTTACTGAACCAAAATTGGCATGAAAATAACCAAGATAAAAAAGCTTGACAATAGTAAATGCGTCACTCAACACAACAACTAGGAGTGGTCCTTTTTTTCCCGATTAACATTAAAATGTAGTAAATAAAGAGAATACAGATTGCAAATAAAATGAGTTCATTGAATAGCTTGATAGCTTATCATTCCCTACTGCCAGCTCCAATATTTTCAATAGTGAATTCATTGTCCGAAACTTCCTAGTCATGGATGAGGATAAAGGGGTTCTCCAATAACACTTCCGATTTGACCATAGTACCTTCCATTTATAAACTACCTTTTCAATAAGGAGGACCACTTGACAAAATATCTCCCTCACAAATTTCACAAAGTGTTGATTTTTGCAAATTTGAAATTCATATATTTCCGGTTAAAAGGGCCACTATACTCGTACAAAATATTTTCCACACAAATCTCTGTCCTACATTAATACATTTATAATGTCAATGGAATTCGGTTTGTGTTGCATCAATGCACCAGAAAAGGTGCATATTGAAAGTCTCCCCCAAACAACCTTGACTAAAGATCGGTGAAACGTAAATGAATGATCAAGAAACAAGCATTCTCATTGATGATTGATCGTGGCTTACTATCTACAACCATTAACACTTAAATGTCAAAGTGGAAAATACAAAGCATACAAATGAGATTTCAAGAGCATATGAAATCTCTTGCTCAAACACTATTATACCACTGGTACTAGACACTTTGCCAAGACATTTTAGGACAGACAGAAAGAAAAGAGCAAGCTATCTACATCTAGTGAAAAATCAAAAAGGAAAAAAGATACAACAGACAATTTATTTCACCGACCATCAGCTGAAGTAAAAGAATCTGCAAATCCAGTAGGCCTTGCAGGGATACTACTCTTACTGTCTTCTAGGTCCATATAGCTCAAGTCCTTTCCTTCTGCCTCTTGCCACCCCTTCACCATCTGGTTAAGGGGAAGGCTATAATCTATGCCAGAGTACTCCTCAGTGTCATCATCAAAGGGTTTCCATTTTTCGACAAGCGGTGCCAACACATTCACAGCATGACCCATATCTGGCCGTTGGCTTGGTTCTCTGGCAGTGCAGTGCCCTGCTAGCTCGGCAATGATGGAGATGCTCTCAAATGTTTCTTCCTTTACATCAAGGGCCTGGTCAATAGCAGCCATAAGTTTCTTTTTATCTGATTTTATATGCCAGAACCATGCTGCTAAGTATTGGCTTTCCTCTGGCCTATCCTCATCAAGTGCCATTAATCCAGTCAAAAGCTCCATTAGCACAACCCCAAAACTGAAAACATCTGCTTTGGTGGTGATTTTTCCTGTCACTGAAATATGAATAAACTCAGGATTAGTATAACATTTGAGCAAACCAAACAATTTAGGACAAAAATTATTGTAATATTTGATAGAAGACATAATGCAGAAACGAAAAGTTTGCTAATAGTTAGTTTACTAAATTATACATTCAAGTAAATTAAAGTTCTTCCCTTAGAAATAGTTACTCTACTAACAGGCTGACAGCCATAAATCCAATGCTACAAAATATGTTGTTAATGGCTACCAATTCTGATAAAGTTCTCCACCAGGAAAATCCACATTCCACACCATACTTGTAGAAACCATATATATTAATATTTCAGTAGTTATGATAAAGCAAATAATTAAATAATAAAATAGTGAGTGATCAAGTAAAAATATATGTAACTTTAAGAACTAATAAAAAAAAATACCTGCATATTCTGGTGCCAAATATCCAAAAGTCCCAGCAAGCTTGGTCACTACAGATTTTTTTTCGCCTTCAGGAGCAAGTTTTACCAATCCAAAATCTGAGACTTTCGCTCTGAAATCATCAGCAAGCAAGATATTGGATGGCTTAAGATCTCTGTGAATGAAACTCTGGTGAGCCAGAGTATGAAGATACTCCATCCCTCTAGCAACATCCAAGGCAATATTGAGCCTCCTCTTCCAAGAGAGAGGCTCCAGTTCATGGCTCTTCCAATGGAAAAGATGCTTACTAAGAGCCCCTTGTGGCATATACTCATAAACTAGAATCCTTTCATTACCTTCTATAGAATAACCCAAAAGAGACACCAGATGCCGGTGCCGGACTTTTGATAGAACCGCAATCTCAGCCTGGAATTCATCCAAGGCCTTGCTACTAATCACACCGGCTTCCATTCTTTTCACCGCAATTTTAGTCCCATCATCCAACTCTCCCTTGTAGACAACACCAAATCCCCCACGGCCAAGCTCATTCTCGGGCGCAAAATTCTTGGTCACATTCCTCAGAACCTGAACTGATATCCTAAGATTTCCAGCTTCGATGACATGAGACTCCCCAATTCCACTGCTGTTCCTACTCCCAGAGCCACTCCCTGTCAAAGTGGAAATGCTTCCATTGGTATTATTAGCAACAGCAATCTTGACAGCACTGTCCGAATCAGATGGATCCCTAGGGTGAATCACCAGTGAAGTTGGAGCCTGCAAGTCCCCCTTTCTCCTCCTGAAACAATAGGCATAGAGTGGAATGAGTAGAAAAGCCGCAGCAGCCACACCCACAATGGGAGCCACAATTGAAACCAACCCTTTCCTTTTGGACCTCTTCGTTTCATGAGATTCACCTGAACCCGAATTCGAGTTAGCCGGTGCAGGGTCAACATTCCCAGATCCATTTGAGGAGTTACTGCTCCCTGAGGAAGGACTTTGGTTACCATTGAACAGAGGATTCCCCACAACAACAGGTTTCAACCCATTCTTAAACACTGGCAGTGGAGGAGAAATGTTATTCCCACTCAGATCCAACAATTTCATAGACATCAAACTAGTCCAATTACCAGGCACCACACCACTGATATCATTCCCCTCCAACCTAATCTGAACGAGAGAACCCAAATTGGCCACAGAAGGACTCAAACTACCACTAAGATTAAAATTAGGCAAATTTATCATATTGACCTTCCCATCAGCACCACACTTTATCCCCAACCAATGCCCCTCACAAGGGTCATTCCCCGTCCACGAATCAACCAAATTCTGAGGATAATTCAACTCACCAAGAAACCCCAACAAAGCCATCACCTCAAAAGCGCAAGGAACCCCCGGTTTACTCACACAAAAATTATTAAACTCATAAGACACTTTAGCCGCCTTAAAATCCGGAATCGGACCCATTAAGTGATTATTATTCAAATCGAGGTTGTCGAGTTTGATATCAGCCAAACCACTAGGAAGCAACCCAACGAGGTTGTTCCCGTTGAGATCAAGATCCTTCAAGGAACTCAAGTCCCCAATTTTCTCCGGAATGGGGCCTGTGAAGGCGTTCCCATGAAGCCAGAGGCTGGTAAGGGAAACCATAGTAGCCACAACGTCGATTCTGCCACTAAGACCCTGACCCTGCTGGTTATTCAGCCACAGAACCTGCAAAGCGGAACCGTTAAGAGTCGGTGGAATCTCGCCGGTGAGGTTGTTGTTGGAGAGCTTGAGAAACGAGAGGGAGTTCATGGAGCCCAGAAAAGGGGGTAATGGGCCGGCGAGGTTGCAGCTCATGCAAGAGAGGTTGGTCAACTGCGTAGAGCGCTGGAGAGTGGAAGGTAAGGTCCAGCCGCGAGTGGTGGCGTTGAGGTTATTATGGTCCAAAGCCAATACTTCGAGACTGTCAAGGCCGTCGAAGAAATCGGAGGGGATGGAGTCGAAGTTGTTGTTATCCAGAAAAGCATATTTGAGGCTTGACAGGCCGCGGAAGGAGGGTAATGGGCCGTTGAGCCTGTTGTTCTGCAGGCCCACGTTCACCAGATTCCTCAGCTCGTTCAGATTCTGCGGCAGGGGACCCGTCAGGTTCAGTCCTTTCGCTTGAATCTGCTTCACTCGTTTCTCGTTGCTGTCGCAGAAAATGTACTTCCACCCGCATGGCTCGTCGCCGCTGTCTGGCCACGGCAGCAGCTCCGGCTTCTCCAGGCCGTCTCGGAATTGCCGGAGGATTTTCGCCTCGTTGGGGTCGCCGCCTGTGGGGCGGAAGAGGAGGAGGACGACGACGGTGGAGAGCAGTCTTAG